GGGCGGGCCGAGCCGGCTCTGCGGGCCCCGCTGCCGGCAGAGCGATGGCTTTTGCTGGGGTGAGGAGAATACCGTCTCCTCTCGGATAACGGCGTCGCGTGGTTTTCCGTTCCGCTGTCTGCCCCGGGGTCGGTGCGCACGTCCAACCTGGCTAAAGCCCGTTGGTCGCGGCAGCGATCCTGTTCGCCACTGGCACGTGCGGAGGGGAGCTCCGAGGCGAGGGGCAGCTGTTGTGGCCACTTGACGCCGCGCTCTCCAGAGGCACTGCGTGCTCCGCGATGGGTTGTGGCCGGCTCCAGGGAGAGACCGGGTGGTGGTTTTGCACAAAGCTCAGTCATGGGAGCGTGCAGGTCCTTGGTGACTTGGAGCCAGCTCGTGGGGACACGCGTTAAAGCCCTGCTTTGTGTGTTTCTGCTCTGCTCCGAGATACAGCGGTGACTCAGAGGATCTTTGATATGTACACGTTATTTGGCTGCTTGCAGCAGTGCTTCCTGGATCCCGGCCTTGTGAGACAGGGCTTGTGTGCAGGAGGTCTTCCTCTGTCAGATGAGGTGATGCGCCTGTACCTCTCCTTGATGTACAGGCACATCTCTTTCTCATACTGACATGCAGTGTTCGCTAGTTAAGTGTGTGAGCTGAAGGAAACACTCCTCGTACCACGATCCTGTTCTCTGGGGCTTGACTATGACAGTAAATCTTCCATTTTATTTACTGGTAACTTTTTCTCAGAGTGAGCGAGAGAAGCAGGAGCAAATTGAGGTCCAGAAGGAGAAGCAGAGAGAGCTGATCCTGCAGCTCAAGACACAGCTGGATGACCTGGAGACGTTTGCTTACCAGGAGGGCAGCTATGATTCTCTGCCACAGTCTGTGGTTATGGAAAGACAACGGGTAAGGTTCGCAAAGTCCTTCTGCCTGTATTTCTTCTTAGCATTTGTCAGCCTCTTATAGACTGTAGGAGTAGGTCAGTCCTTATTTCTTGCTAGCAGCTGTAGTAGAGTATCAGTAGTTCGTCTGCATGTGTAAACCTGTCCCATGTCTTCTCTTGCGATTTTCTATGTGCAGCAAAGGTGGCCTGTTTCCAAGGTAATGAACAGCTAAAGGAGTATTTTGAAGTTCATGGGCAGCAGCGCCACACGGTGAGATCATGCTACTAACTCATGTTTTGCAGATGATTATAAATGAGTTGATAAAGAAGCTGGACATGGACTTGAGTGAAGATATTGCAACGCTCTCTCCAGAGGAACTGCGACAACGTGTGGATGCTGCCATAGCACAGATTGTTAATCCAGCCAGGGTGAAGGAGCAGCTGGTGGAACAACTGAAGACACAGATAAGGGACCTCGAAATGTTCATCAACTTCATTCAGGGTCAGTGCTGAGTTTTTAGATGAGCAGATTGAATTGCTTTGTAATTCCCTGACAAAGTTATGAGGAGGGAGGTCCCAGATGTCAGAGGATGCAGGAAGGGTTTCTGAGTCACGGGGAAGTACAGCTCTCTCTGAACTGATGGTGGGGAGAACGAGAGACTGACAAAAAAGGTGCAGAGAGGTCTAAGGAATATTGACTTTAATACTTGGGATATGCAGCTTAAATTCACAAGTGTGAAATAATAGTGTGAAATTCTTGCTCTAGATGAAGGTGGAAGCTCTGGTAAGGCAGAAGACGGACACTGTGAATGTGCAGGCAGAAAAGACGGCGGTGGCTCCTACAAACCAAATGCACGGCCTTCTGGAAACAGAGGTGGGCACAGCTTGGCTCGGAGCTTCCGGCACTGCTCCTGCCGTCACTCATTTGAGGTTCGGCAAGCATGAACCAGCATCCAGTCACGCTAAGCTGCTTTGCTTTTTTCCTGGCAGTTGGTTGCTGTTCTTTCCTACTCCCACTGACAGAAAGCCTGCGTCCAGTTCCTTTACCCTTTCTCTTTGGGATCATTAGAGTAGTCACAGAACCTGAACGTGGCACAGAGGGTGGGATTGGTCCTCAGCTGAGATGAGGAGTAGAAGGATCTTCTGATACGTAGTGCAAAACGCAGACAGACTGAGCAGCCTTGTCTTGTACGCACTGTTGGGCTGCACTGTAATTAATGCTCTTTGAGTTCTTAGCTCTGTGAGCAGATACAGCGAGCTGGATGGATCCAGTGTTCTTTATAATTTGAAACTTGTCTACTTATCACAGGAATTTATTGGAGCTAGAATAGTATACTAGAGGAAATACTACAATACCTTTTACCTTCTGTAATCTGAGGCGTCTGCCGCTAGTCAGAGATAGAATGCTGGCCTAGATGGACTTTGGGTCTTACCCAGTGTGGCTACTCTTGCAAATTGAATTTAATAATGGCATCAGGAGTAAGCAGTGTATGTTACCCTGCTGGGACAAGACGCTTCTTGAAAGTAGGCAGTGATCTCCTTCAGCAAAGGTTTTGATATCTCCTAATTACCCATGTGATATCGTCGTGTCTAAAGAATGATCTTTCCTCACTATGTATGTGCCCACTAGGAAAGCTGTCGTAGGATTTCTTCTCTGTAAGAAGACCTGATTGTTGAGAACAGGCTGTGCAAATGTTTGCTTTTGTGGTTGGCTTCAGTGCTTTGAAACTAGAAAAAGTAGCATCAATCCTAGTGACAAAAGCTCCCAAGGAGGAGGAGAATCTGTGGTGGAGGAGGAGCAGACGTTTGTGCTCCCTTTGTGTGCATGAAAGAGCAGAGCTGTTGATTCCTTAATGAGAGTATTTTTTTCTCTTTTCTAACCTGATCAGTGAACCCAGAAGATGCCAGAAAGATGCGAGAAACGGGCCTGCACCTCATGCGTCGCATGCTTGCTGTGCTACAAATATTCGCTGTCAGTCAGTTTGGTTGTGCTACTGGTCAGATTCCTCGCACCCTCTGGCAGAAGGACCAAGCCAGCAAGGACTATTCCCCCTTAATTAAGAAACTGGAGTTGTCAGTAGAGCGGGTGAGGCAGCTAGCTATGAAACACCAGCAGGTAGGCCACGTTATCGCTTCCTCCGATCTGCAGGACATTCCCTTGGGAGGCAGAGACGAGCTGACTCTAGCTGTGCGGAAGGAGTTGACCATTGCTTTGCGAGACCTGATGGCTCACGGGCTCTATGCCTCTTCTCAAGGAATGAGCCTGGTATTGGCACCCATTGCGTGCCTGATTCCTGCGTTCACCTCATCCCCGCAGACCATGCACCCCTGGGAACTCTTTGTGAAGTATTACAACTCTAAGAATGGACAAGCCTTCGTAGAATCCCCGGCTCGCAAGCTCTCCCAGTCCTTTGCCTTGCCTGTGACAGGAGGAATGGCCATTACCCCCAAACAGAGCCTGCTGACAGCGATCCACACTGTCCTCACGGAGCATGACCCCTTCAAGCGCAGTGCAGACTCTGAACTGAAAGCTTTGGTGTGTATGGCACTAAACGAGCAGCGCCTGGTCTCCTGGGTAAATCTGATCTGCAAATCGGGAGCTCTGGTACAATCCCACTACCAGCCATGGAGCTACATGGCAAACACAGGCTTTGAGAGCGCACTCAACGTTCTCAGTCGCCTGAGCAACTTGAAATTCAACCTCCCCGTTGACCTGGCTGTCCGGCAGCTGAAAAACATCAAAGATGCTTTTTGATGTATTTTTATTGTAGATCATCCATTTTCCACAAGTAGGCAGCTGTTGGGCTCAAGAAGCCTGGCTTTTTTAAGACCAAGTTTGGCTCTTTGAAATTGATATTTGCTTTTAGGGAAATCTTATGGTGTCTTGATGCTGGAAATCTGTGTTTTACAAGGCTGCCACTGTGGAGCTGCTGGAGGTTACGCCCTGTACAGCACCTCACCCTGCCCTTTTTGTGCAGCTCTGAAGAGCGAAATTGCTTCACTGGTGAGCAGATGCCAGTGAGCGTTCAGGATGCGAGGCTGCCTGCCCCAAGTGTGGTAGAGGCCTGGCCACTGAGCCTAAGGGTGGGCGAAGCCCCTCAGAGCAGCTTAGCTGCCGTGCTGCCTCCGCGTGGCTGTTTCTCAAAGTTTGTGGTCTAAATGACGCCCCTACGAGACGCCTCCCGCGGGCAGAGCAAGGCGGGCTGCAGGTCGTCCGGTGGCAAGTGACTTGCCGTGCCCAGTGTGAAAGGATGAAACTGGGGCAGGTCTGCTGAGACGCAGGCGTGGGGGGCTGCGCTCCTGCGGCGCCTCAGCAATCCGTAGAAGCAGCCACGTTCCTCAGGCTGCCGGGTGAGGGGCCGGCACCGGCGGCCTTGTCCAGCGATCCCAGAGCTCCTTTTTTGAAGCTTTTGTGCGACAGTCGGCGCCAGCGGCCTGGTGTTTTATAGGGGATGCATTAAATCGCTTTAGCAAGTGTATGTGTGGGGAGAACCCATCTCCAGTGACCGTGTTTTGATTTGCGTCCGTCACTCGCCTCTGCGCTGCGGGGGTGTGGCGTGCTCGGGCTGTGA